ATTTCTTTCAAGAAAACATAGCAAACTACAATTGACAAGGATGTATTGCATGAAACACGGGGGATTTTTAAGCACCGCCCTTTCCTCTCATCAATAACTAAAACTACTGCCATGATGGTAATTGTAGTCATATCAAGGCTTCGTCTAATGAATTGTATATTAAATCCAATTCAAGACATGATGCCTTATCCCGTGTGCCAATTGAGCATATACCATTCACTCATCTTCGACGACACAAATAAACAAAGAATTTCCAATGTTAATATGCGTTTATATAAGAAGAAATGACCTCTTTAATCAAATTGACAAGTGACATGATGCTAGAAAATAAATATGAAAACATGAGCAAGATCACAGCGCACAAGAACTATGTAAGATTTTATTGATATCTTGACACAATAAAGTCAGTCACTTCCCAGGTTAGATAAGAATTAACTTTAAAAGATCAAGAAAATACTGTCCTTGAACTTGATGCGTGATCCAATCAAAAGCTTCTTCACATTTTCCAAAATTCCAATGAATTCCATGAACGTTCTTGTACACATAAATGAGCAGATTGTACTGCACTCATGTCACGTGAATTTCCACACCCTCATTTACATCCCACCAAATCAAGAACTCCATTTCAATGTCAACCCAAAAGAAGAAGAGATAGACACTGACTTCACCAAATCGATGAGCAATGATAGCATTGCACTCACGTTGTCAGTGTGAGAGAGTGAGAGAAGTTCATGCGGCATCATAGGCTGCGAATGATAACCATTCTGTTTCAGAAATCAATTTCTGACCAGAAATTGATTTTTCTATTTCTGTTTCTGGAGGAGTTTCTAAGCTAAAAAACATGTTTGATAATGACACAAAATTTCTATTTCAGAAACAGAAATTTGTTTGATAACGGCACAAAATTTCTCCTTCTCATGTGGCCGGCGAGTGGACGGCGGGCGGCGGACAATCGCTTCATTTCTTTTAGAAATAGAATAAAAAAATTAGAAAATCTGGAAAATTCCTAAAAATCTAAAAAAAATTCAGAAAATCCATAAAATTTTCCAGAAAATAAAAAAAAGTCAGATTTCGGGAAAATAGGAAATTTGTTCATTTTTTCCAAAAAAAATCAAAAATTTCAAAATTTCACAGAATGACTTAGAATACCCGTGGCCACCCACTTTGAGTGAAATTTAAATTTTTTGAAGTGCCAAAAAAAAATCAAAAAATTTCAAAATTTCAAAACTTCACAGAATGGCTTAGAATACCTGTGGCCACCAACTTCGAGTGAAATTTATTATTTTTTTATTTTTTTATTTTTTTGGCACCTAAAAAATTTAAATTTCACTTAAAATGGGTGGCCACAAGTATTCTAAGTCATTCTGTGAAGTTTTAAATTTTTTTGTTTTTTTTGGGCACCTCAAAAAATTTAAATTTTACGCAAAGTGGGTGGCCACAGGTATTCTAAGCCATTCTGTGAAGTTTTGAAATTTTTTATTTTTAAATTTTTTTGGGCACCTCAAAATATTTAAATTTTACGCAAAGTGGGTGGCCACATATATTCTAAGTCATTATGTGAAGTTTTGAAATTTTTGATTTTTGGATTTTTTTGGGCACCTCAAAAAATTTAAATTTCACACAAAGTGGGTGGCCACATATATTCTAAGCCATTATGTAAAGTTTTGAAATTTTTGATTTTATTTTTATTTTTTTTGGCACTTCAAAAAATTTAAATTTCATTCAAAGTGAGTGGCCACAAGTATTTTAAGCCATTCTGTGAAGTTTTGAATTTTTTTTATTTTTTTGGAAAAAATGAACAAATTTCCTATTTTCCCGAAATCTGACTTTTTTTATTTTCTAGAAATTTTTATGAATTTTTCTGGAATTTTTCAATTTTTAAGGATTTTTTGGAATTTTTTTTGGGCCGGCGAAAGGCGGCTGGCCCGATGGTGGCGGGAGGTGGCCGGTGGTCGGCGGCGGCGGTGGTGGGAGCGGCCGGTGGCGAGAGCGGTGGCCGCGGCGGCCAATGAAGGGTAGCGGCGGTCGGCGGGTGGCGGCGGCCGGCGATGGGCGGCGGGTGAGCGACCGACTAGTAGTGAGGGAAAGTGATGAGAAGAACAAAAAAATTTTGTTTCTCATTTCTGTTCCAGAAATAGAGAAGCTAAAAATTTTAACTTCTGATTTCTCTTTCAAATCTATTTCTGGAACAAAAATTTGTTCCGTAAATAGAAATTAAAATTGCGTTCTTAAACGGATTGTTTCCAAACCTATTTCCGAATGTAAAATGAGAAACAGAATTGCTTATCATTCCAGCCATAGTGTCCATTACACGCGTGCTTTTAGCACGTGCCACTTTCCTCTCTCTTCTCTCTCTCTCTTCCATAAAATGACAAATTGGATCCAAACAAGAAGAAGCAGAGTTCTTGGTAAACACAGTCTGATGAAAGTTGAAAGTTGAAGTTTAGGGCTTTGGTCAGGCATGGGTGTCCTTTATACTTAGGGTTCTGATTTCGATGATACTTGAGTCAGATTCATTTACGGCAAAAACAGAAAAAGAAAATAAAGACTAAGGAGCGAAAGTCTTCTTAACATCATGTGATTTGTCAGATTACACAATCCACTAAATTATATGGTAAAGTTTAGTTGACCCAACAATTTTGACTTTTTGCTCATGATATTTTCAGAATCAATGTAATTGCTCTTGCATAAAGTCAAAAAAATAAACTAAAAAATGTGAAATGATTGGGAGGGGAGCTTGGGAAAAATCCAGATAGCAAGTAAGGTCAATTCTGGGTTGTTAAAGTATTCTACATCTTTTATTTATCCAGCTTATATACTCTTTATATACATGTGATCTTTCTCTATTAATTAGTTTAAGTTTGAATTGGACTTTCTAATATGGTACATGAATCAAGTTCTACCCAAATTATTTTTAACTTGCACTCAAAAGGGAATGTTAAGTATAAAAAATAAGTATTGAAGTATCCCAAATCGGTCTCTCTCCATCTATTAGCTTAATGTTTAGGTTAAACTTTCTAATATTGGCAAACACAGTGTGTTTGAGTAAAAATGAATTAACATTGGATTTTTTTTCGTCATAAGAATACTCTAGCCTAGAATGGCTTTTCTGGTTCAGTATAGTTGGTTATTTTCTTGGCTTTTTAAAAAAAAAAAATTTGTATAGGAGGGTGGTTATTTGTTTTGCATGGTGGTGTGTTGTGGGATGGCTTTTGTTTCACACTGAATCCTTCGACAAAAGGACCGAGGATCAAGTTTTGTCTTTTTAAGGGTTTCCATGGATGTTGATTCTTTTGGTCGACTCATCGTACAATTCCAATCAAATTGTTGTTGTTAGGTGATGATGATGACTCATCTTATTACGCTAAGAATAAGGAAGGAGAAGGAATTAGAAAGATTACAAAGCCTGCTATCAACTAAATCTAAAGAGAGCCATTGTAATAAATCATTGTTCTCCATATATATTTTTTTGGTGTGTTTTAGCACATAATTAGGCCCAAAGTTTTGAGCCTACGCAAAAAAATACCCGCATTGATATCAAGCATGTTATCTATCATATTTTTTTTTCTCGGGATGAAACGAGATACTTCGAATTAGCCCGCACTAAATTCGAATGCGAAACATGCTCGTTCATTTGAGTAGGCTTGAGAGCGAAAAAAGAATTGCCCATCGAGCTTGGCTCGGCTTGAACTAGCCCAAATATAAGTGAAAACAATTGTGCGACCTTGGGGCCATGGCTCTTCTATTAGAGCTTGGAGCTACCAAGACTTGCCCGACATGGTTTTATGGTTTGGCGAATGCACGATCTGAACGAGTCTGGACAAGTAATTTCTTCTTGGGCTCTGGCTCACCCTGACGTCATTTATACGAAGAAAATATAATAGTTTCCAAATCTTGAACTTGTTACTCGAATTATTTGTCAAGTCCAAGTGCAATCTGATCCATTGGGAATAAGGATCAAGAGATGAGATGGGGCTATCTACATTTTGAGGCCGAACATGCCAATAACGGCCCACTCAATGCCTCTGATGCATGGTATTAGGGCTTCGTACTATTACAATTATCAAAATTAGGTGGAATTCGCATTTAACTTTTTAATTGATAAGAGCACCTAAAACTCTTCGATGGCTTGTAAATTATGTATAAAATCTTCCCATTCTTTCAAAACTTTAATTTGTATTTCATATTACAAACTTCGAAAATGGGGCATGTTTCGGGGAACTAACCAGGAACTCTTTTTCTTTGCTTCTTTTGGTATTAAACTAGGAACTCTATTAAGACACATATATAAGCTCCAAGGTATCAAATATCGCTTCACAGGCGAAATATCAATATCATCGGCCTTTTCTTATTAGGAGCCTGCTTCAAATATTAAGTTCAGTTGATTGGGATGGCTCGCTTTTGTGTTATGTCGATTTTTTGGCAAAGAAAAGAAGAACAATTTAATATCATGGATAATGAAAAATTGACTATATTTTGAAATTTCGAAAAAGCCTTTTTTTTTGACAAGGGGAAAATTTCTCTTAGTTATTTTAACCTTAGCAAATGATATTCTTGACTTATGAATCTGCTCATATCATCGATTTACATCTATAAATTAGTATATCATGTAGTGTTGTTGGAAAAATCAATCAAATCTAAATCAATGGAGACAAGACATTTAAATATTCGAGAAACATTCATTATTTAACTCAATAGTAAAGAATTAATATACATTGTAAAGAAAAGACAAGAAGAATCATATCACTTTGTATAAAGGCAACTAACTTTGGTTGACTAGATGAAGTTAAGTGCTTTGAAGACATCTAAGATTCTTACAAATCGTTGAGAAAATGGGACGAGAAAATCACGTAGCCCCTCATACAAATTACTTTGTCATGCCAAATAAACAATTACAAGAGTAATCAGACAAACAAATTATACACATTCTCAGCCGACTGCAACCAAAAATCAACGACAAAGACATACTAGGGTACTTCCCATTCCAAGTCTAAAAGATGTGGCCCTTATGATTCTGCTAATATAGAACCACAGGGGACCGCTCATCATTGGTGATTGTGGCCTAATGGTACAAGCTGATTTTCCACAAGCGCAAGGTCACGAGGATAGCCCACTAGCAATGATAGTGCATGTATTTTGCCTTGTCTATGATGGGAGCTCTAGCAGCTTAGTGGGGTTATAGTGACGAGACTCGCCTACCCTTGATAAGTGGTTGCAAGTGGGCTATTGGATGACGGCCTTCTCGCAATCTTAAATCAAAATACTTTGTGGCAGACGTGAGGCTTTCATGATGACTTAACAGAGCGACAGAGCATAGTCCCCCTGATTGCTCCTCTCCGCCTTTCCTTGACAACAAAGAAAAAGAAACTGTGCTCTGAGATGGTGTGGGAATTTGAATAGAAGAAAGATGAACTATGATCATTTACAGAGAAGTCAGATTTAAATTGATTATAATCTATGGGGTTCATTCAAATTTAGTTGCCATATTGGCCAACTTGAAAACACCTTAAATACTATTTTTTGCATCTTTACAGTAGCTGTTATTGTTGGAAGTAAGAAAGCTTCTTCATTTGACTTTCAATAGACCTCAATAATTAACATTATGATACAGATTAATCTTTTAGAGCAGGTCACCGAAAAAACAGTTTAGAGCATATTAGTACACCTACCAAAACAAATAGCCTTTTGTTTTGTTTTTTTTTCTTTTGTCATGTTGCATATCAGTACACCTACATAAGCACATCATTTGCCTACCTCAACAGTGCTTGCATTTGATCCTCCTGAGAGATTTTGCCAAAAAAAGATGACAGTGGGATATTCTGCAAAACAAGCACAGTTGGGAGAATTTAGGTCACTAAGCTAGGGCATGAAAGAAAAGATATTTGGAAGAGAACATGACAAACGCAGAAATTGCAGAAAATATCAATATAATAGCAACAATTCTTCTTGATTCTCATGCAAAGCATGGTACATTTTCAGAAGCGGAAAGATAAGCAATTTTTGGGTATCAAACAAAGTTCAAGATATATCATCAATCCAGACAAGCACATCCACGCATCACAATTCCAGCACTGTGAGCAAATCCATGTAAGTATTATTTGTTTTGAGGAATAGTCACTCGTATGAAACAACGTTGGACTTGCTGTACTGCGTTAGCATTATAACCATTTCATTGTGTGCTTCCTTGTCAAAAAAAACAGAGCAATCCAAATGTGTAGCTGGTTTGTGGCAAATTATGTGAAGCTTGTCCATGGAAAACATGAACTTTCTAGCATCGAGTTGAGGATTCATAATAGAAATGGATCCTGGAGCAGCAGAAGTAGCTAAAGGACAAATGTGGAAGAAAGAAAGAAGTCCGAACCATTACCTGAAGAATAAAAATTAGACATTGGAGAAATATTCTTATTGAATCCGAACTCGATCAACTACGATTAGTGGGATTTCTTGGATGAGGTGCCAATAGTCAGCCACTGAGTTTTGATTATGTCGAATACTTGGAGAAGGGAGTGAAGCCATTCTCTGGCAAGTACCAGTAACCTATAAAAGATAGCTGTTTGAGAGAGGAGAGATGGCTGCGAAGACCACTTGGTAATCTTTCCACATTCTTCATATTTCTCATCCAAAGAGAGGTTAGAGACGAAAGAAACAGAATACTCCATGCTTCTTACATCCTCCACCGCTGGTAGTCTTTCCACAGTCCTCATATTTCTCATCCAAAAGTCTGAAACAGGACGAGCAATTAGTCCTGAATAAAATTTATTTGTCATGCATAATAAACAACTACAAGAGTGGTCAGAACAAAATTATATGCACACCCAATTGACTGCAACAGAAAATGAACCGGGATACCCTTTTGATGATTTGCTGGAAAACTCTTATGATTATGTTAACTAACAAGTATGGGAGACCACTAATCATCGGTGATGGTGACTTATTGATACGGGCTGCTATTCTACAAATGTGAGGTCAGGAGATCAAATGACTTGGTACGGGCTGATAACGCTTAAGAATGATTGCCTGCACCTATTGATATATCTGGAATGCTCGAAATGCAGTTATCTTCAACCATAAATCACCTGATTCTGAAAATGTCACTTATATAGATTAGAAAAGCTCTTTTAGACTGTGTTTCTTGTAAAAATGTAACAGAGCTGAGTCATGATTGGGTGGACGAAAGGTAGGGTGTGTAGGGTAAAGCTGAGCTAGGTTTTGTGAAGATTAACTGTGACGGGTCTTACATTGAAGGAACCAAACATGCTGTTGTTAGGATGATGGCTAGAAATGAAACAGGGGAGATGATTGCTTGAAGGGGCATGGTGGTGCAAGCTAGATCTGCAAAGGAGGCTGAATTACTTGCTGTTTGAAAGAGCATTGCAGTAGCTAAAGAAAGAGCTGAACCAAGGTAGTAGTGGAGCTGGATGCAGCAGTGGTATACAAGGATATCTCCACTTTCCCAAACAGTGCAATTAAAGACTAATGGACGCTCCTGCTGGGATTCAAGAAGCTAAAGATCGTTTTGCAGCTCTGAATTTTAGTTGTATTTCGCGAAAAGCAAATGTTTTGTGCCCATTGGGTAGCTTTGTCAAAATTGGGATCTACATCCGCATCCTTCATCCTTCTTATCACATTTGCTTATTTCAACCGCGAGTTGTAGGCCTAAACAGAAAAATCCCATTGAGGACACACACGACACACCCAAATGTCATTCTCTGACCTTCAGTGGCTGTTTTCTGAAAATTCTATGGGAAACATCACCACGGGAAAAAATCAATCCGTATGAAGCATCGAACTGAAGAACTGAATAGAAATTGATGCCTTCAAACCCAAACACTTACCCCAACCCTAAAAAGCTTACTTTAGATGGAACAACGAATCGCGGCAGATAGCAAATGAAAGCAAAAGAATGAAACAAGTTATAGGAATTACCTGAAGAAGGAAAAGTAGTCAATGGAGATAAATATTTTGTCATGGCTTGGGTGTGATCAATTTCAATTCATTGGATCCGAACACCTCCAATGTAGATGAGAGGGATCTCTTGGATGAGGGGCCAGTAGTCGCCAGTGAGTTTTAAGCATGAATCTTTCAGAATCTCGCATAAAAATATCTCCAGAATTTGGATAGAGCATAGTCTTCCCGATTGCTCCTCCCCGCCTTTCCTTGACAACAAAGAAAAACAAACTGTGCTCTGAGATGGTATGGGAATTTGAACAGAAGAAAGATGAATTATGATCATTTACAAAGAAGTCGGATTTAAATTGATTATAATCTACGGGGTTCATTCAAATTTAGTTGTCATACTGGCCAACTCGAAAACACCTTAAATCCTATTTTTTGCATCTTTACAGTAGCTGCTGTTGTTGGAAGTAAGAAAGCTTCTTCGTTTGACTTTCAATATAGACCTCAATAATTGACATCATGATACAGATTAATATTTTAGAGTAGGTCACCAGAAAAACAGTTTAGAGCATATCAGTACACCTACCAAAACAAATAGCCTTTTATTTTTTTATTTTTTGTTTTTTCTTTTGTGAAGTTGCATATCAGTACACCTACATAAGCACATCATTTGCCTACCTCAACAGTGTTTGCATTTGATCCTTCTGAGAGATTTTGCCAAAAAAAGATGACAGTGGGATATTCTGCAAAACAAGCACAGTTGAGAGAATTCATGTTACTGAGCTAGGGCATGAAAGAAAAGACATTTAGAAGAGAAAACATAACAAATGCTGAAATTGCAGAAAAATATCAATATAATAGCAACAATTCTTCTTGATTCTCATGCAAAGCATGGTGCATTTTCATAAGTGGAAAGATAAGCGATTTTTAGGCATCAAAAAAAGTTCAAGATATATCATCAATCCAGACCGGCACATCCACGCATCACAGTTCCAGCACTGTGAGCAAGTCCATGTAAGTATTATTTGTTTCGAGGAATTGTCACTTGTATGAAACAATGGTTGGTTGACTTCCTGTACCACGTTAGCATTATAACCATTTCATTGTGTGCTTCCTTGTCAAACAAAACAGAGCAACCCAAATATCTAGCCGGCTTGTGCCAAATTATGAGAAACTTGTCCATGGAAAAACATGAACTTTCTAGCATTGAGTTGAGGATTCGTAATAGAAATGCATCCTGGAGCAGCAGGAGTAGCTAAGCGACAAGTGTGCAAGAAAGAAAGAAGTTCGAAGCATTATTTAAAGAACAAAAATTAGACATAGGATAGATATCTTCTCATTGGATCCAAACTCGATCAACTACAATGAGTGGGATTTCTTGGATGAGGTGCCAATATGCCAAATACTAGCTGTTTGAGAGTGGAGAGATGGCTGCGAAGACCACTTGATAGTCTTTGCACGTTCCTCATATTTCCCATCCAAAGAGAGGTAAAGATGAAGGAAATAGAATACTCCACGCTTCTTCCATCCTTTACTTTTGATAGTCTTTCCACATTCCTCATATTTCTCATCCAAAAATCTGAAACAGGACTATCAATTAGTCCTAAATAAAACTCCTAAGAATGATTGCCTACCCCTGTTGGTATATCTGGAAAGCTTGAAATGCAGTAACTTTTACCCATAAATCACCAGATACTGAAACTGTCACTTATACAGGTTAGAAAATTTCTTTTGGAGTGTGTTGCAGGTAAAAATGTAAGCTCAGTCATGATTCGGTGGATGAAAGGCAGGGTGCGTGGAGTAAACCTGAGTTAGGTTTTGTGAAGATTAACTCAGATGGGTCTTATTACGTAGAATCCCCAAAATATCATCCAAAGAGTAGTTACGGCGATTGATACTCCCTCCCCTTCCCTCTCCTGTACAGGAAAAATAATATGTAGGATTGCTTCAAATGTAGTCAAGAGATGGAGTGGGTATTTGAATAGAAGAAAGATGAACTTTAATCTTTGACCAGGCAATCTGTTTGTAAATGGGTTCTGATGTGCAGGGTTCATTCAGAATTTAGCTGTTATATTTGCATATTTAAAACCTCCGTTTTCAAACCATTCTTCCATCAATACAGTAGTTGCTATTGGAACAAAGAAAGCTTCATATTCTGAACATTGACCTGAACAGGTCAAAGGATATTATCTAATGGATTCAGATATTTATACAGATTATCATTATGGTATTTTTCTGGCTAGACAAGGCCTACATCATAGTTACTAAAAGCAATTTCGTACTTAGAGTTGGAAGCACAAATTTTTTGTTGGCCATGGAAATATTTCACATATAATCCTCCTAAACAGTGCCAAACAACAAAAATGGGGAAAAATGTTTTCGTAAATCTGACTTCTTATAACATAGACCCTTAGTTGCCTCTAAAGCTATTGGCAAATGATTCTGCATACTCGATGTCAAAAACTTAGACTCATCCTTCCATGGGCCCTAATCAAGTTTAAATGACAAATGAGGGCCTCTGTACCTGTGAGTACGTCCTGTGTATCAGCAGCCATCCTCTCTTCGTCCATTTTAGCTTTCTATGTGTAGCTAAGCCTCATTTTCAGTTCTGTAAGGTAATGTGACCCCGGTGAACCACTCTTTGCTGATGACAAGAACTAGGTCACCTGATTCTATGAGGACTGAAGTATCTTCTTATAATCCTGGAAATTCCATGGAAAGGCGCCGCCTTGCCTTGAGAAACCACCCAGAGCTCGTCCACACTTGTAGATGTTCATCTTGACAAACCTTCTAATCAAGGCAAAAAGAGGGCTATTAGCTGTGAATATGATCCATCGTTGGTCAAATTGAAGTACTTTGGCAAGAAAATCGATCTCACCATCACAATTCCTCCTTGGAACAAGACCAGACCTTGAATGAGCACATCAACTGTCCAAATCCTACAGTTGGGGATAGCAAAAAACGCAGAATCTTACTCATCTATCCTTAAACAAGAAACTAACAATTTACAAAGATATCACTTTAGTAGTCACTGATCATTAAAGCAAAACTTAAAGTCCACATTAATAAACAAAAAAGGTCCGCATCAATTATGTGCACTAATGCCTATAGGCACAGATATCAGAACTAACCTGCAAATCAAGGCGAATAGAGGGCTACTAGCTGTGAAAATGATCCATCGTTGGTCAAATTGAAGTATTTTGACAAGAAAATCAATTTCACCATCAGAATTCGTCCTAGGAACAAGACCAGACCTCGAATGAGTGTCTCAGCCGCATCCGAATCCTACAGTTGTGGATAGGCAAAAAGAGCAGAATCATACAACCAATCACCCTTGGACAAGAAACTAACAATTTACAAAGATAATTCTTTAGTAGTCACTCGTCATTAAAGCAGAACTTAAATACAACATCTATAAACAAAAGGAGGTCCACATTAACTATGTGCAGAGCCCAGGCACAGATATCGTTACTCAAATACGAAAAAACTGATCAAGCTAGCATAACTGTTCTATTCCGAATATTTTCCAAGTTGGAACAATTAGATTGGTTTCTGTTACATTATAAGTTAGATGCATGATGAGAGAGGCTCCCTGTAGCTGGGACCACTGATTGGTTCTACTGTATTTTCAATGTGAAGACTAGATTCCAATAAGTTCAATAAGTGCAAGAACAATAACAGGATAACTGAAAAAGTAATCGAAGTCATGAGGTGGAGAGAAATGAGTAACCTGACCAGATGATTGGATGGCTCATCAAGCAAAACTACGTGAGGTTTCTTGAAAGTTATCGTAGAATCCAAAATTGATGCCTTCAAGACCAAAGGACTTACCCAAACCCTAGAAAAAGGACTGCAGATGGAAGAAGGAATAGCGAAATCTCAGCAAATGAGAGCGAAAGTGGATCGGTTTCACTTCATTGGATCCGATGCCAATCAATGTTGATGCTCGGGATGTCTTGGATGAGGGGCCAATAGTCGCCACCGAGGTTTGAGCATCGATCTTTCAGAATCTCGCATTTATCTATCCACAATTCTTGGAGGGAGGGAGGGAGGCCATCCTCTGGCAAGTATCTCAACTTCGGGCAATCGTAAATCACCAAACGTCTGAGAGAGGAGAGACGGTTGCGAAGACCGCTCGACAGTCTTTCCACGTTCTTCATATGTCTAATATCAAGAGCGACTAGAGAGGAAGGGAAGAGAAGACTCCACGCATCCTCCTCCTCCTCGTTCTCCTCCGAAGGAAACCGCACCTTCTCTCCCTCCCCTCCCATGCTCCTTCCGTCAATTCCAAGTCCCTCGAGGGATGTGAGAAAGGGTAAGCCCCATTCTCTCACTGGCTGCTTCAGGTTCTCGCACCTCCAAAGGCAAAACCACCGCAAATTGGGAGGCAAATCCCCTTTGGGGAAGGATTTGATATTTTCACAATCCGTAATTTCCAGATGCTGGAGGGATGTAAGACGATGCCACTCCTTTGGTAGGGACTTTACCTTCGGACAATTACGAAGACAGAAAACTGACAGGGTGATGGGAAGGGGAGGGAAGTCCTCTATCTCCAATGCTAGACAGTTACTTATGTCCAAATAAGTGAGATGGGAGAACGTGTGAAAGTATTGTGGTAGGCTTTCCAGATTCTCACACCCGTCAATCATAAAAATTTTCAGCCATTGTCCCACGGTGATCTCTTCCAACGACTCTACTCCCATACACTCCGCAATTCGAAGTCCCTTCAAAGCAGCAAGTTTACCCTTAACAAACGAAAAGGATGTCAGGGCATCACATTTACCTATTTTAAGATATTCAAGTTGAGACATCGTGTTATTACTGCTGGGATCATCTGGAAGAATGGTTTGTCCCACGAGTTTTGGACACTCATAAATGTCCAAATATCTGAGTGTATCCATCTTGCTTGGAAGCTTTTCTAAACTTGTGCAATCCCTCAATTCCATCCTTTCAAGGTTGCAGGGCAGCTTTATTGGTCCTTCTCCTGCCACAAAAGATATGAATCGAAGACAACTTGCGATGGCTAATTTCCGGAGGCAAGTAAGATTAAGCATTTCATTTCCATCTTGCCACAAGTACTTTAGCTTGTCACACCCTCTTATATGAAGCTCTTTTAGCTTGACCAAGCAGCTCATAAACCCATGATCAAGGCAAACAAGCTCGGCAAGATTTTCAATTCTGAGAATGGTCAAAGAAGTTAGGTTGACCAAGCTCTTTAAGATCTCCTCGTTACAATCCTCCAAGTATAGCTCACAGAGAGATGGAAGACAAACCTCACTAGTCGTGTTCTTCAAATGCGGGCATGAATGAATTTCAAGCTTTATGAGACTATCAAGTTGATAAGGCAATGTCCCGACCAATGAAGGACAACTCTGGACAACAAGATGCTGAAGACAGGAGAATGGGACTCCTTCTTTCGGGCCCCCGGCGTAAGGAAACCAATCCTTCCATGCCAACATCTCTTTCAACTTCAAAGTTGTTAAGGATGAGAAAGGCCTTCTACCTCCGTAAAATTCGGAGCCTATCATTTTCACTGCATGTAGACCATCAAGAGATAATTCCTTAAGAGCAGGTAGTTGTCCAAGTGGGGGTAGCGATATAACATTAGGACAACCTCGTAAGCACAAAGACACTATCTTTGAATAGGACGAACCATCTAACCATGATGGAAATATTGCACTACCATAGTTCAAAATAGTGAGATTTTCAAGATTAATGTGAGGTCGCAGAGAGTTAAGCACCTGAGCATCGCGCTCATGATTAAGGAGATTTCCAGAATGTTCATCCCAATGCAAGGATAAGTTGGTAAGGCCTCGCTTTTGAAGCAAATTAGCATCAACTGCATCTCTAACTTCTTCCACCTTTTGCAATTCTGATATAAATAATTCTCCTTGAAGATGCGGCAAGTTCTTTAACTCCTCCAACCGCGACCCTTTCTTTGGTCCGACCATAAACTTGGACAAGATAGTAAGATTCTTCAAATTACTGATACCCAATGGCATCTCTTTTAAACTCCCGGTATCTCTAATATCAAGAAATTGTAAACTGACCAACTTTGTGATTTCTCGAGGCAATTTTGAAAGGTTTTGACAACCTCTTAAGATCAAAGCTTGTAATTTGCACAAATCAGCAATTGACTCAGGTAGCCTTTCGATATTAGTATACGAGAAATTGAGATATCGCAGATGTTTTAAATCACCAACACAATTCGGCACCTCCACGATGTCACAATGACATACTAAGAGCACCCTCAAGTATTTCAATTCCGTTAACAAGTCATGTAGCACCTTGTTGGAAATAGATAAAGAGCGCTCTTTAGATCCAACACGAACTAAGATTAAACTTCTTAGTACCTTCATTCGGTGATATGCTCTCATGCATTTTGATGTGACACACCATGACGAGATGAATGATGCAAAACGAGTTTTTTCAATAGATGATACATCATGTTCATTAGTTGTCAGCTGAGACTCCATTGAGCTAAAGCAAGTCCCACCCGCAATTGACTTTGCTAGATCATTCAAAAGATCATGCATTGAAAACTTAGATGCATCAACACTCGATTGTTGAAGAAATGATCTAGATTTTAACTCATCGAAGTAATCCCGTCCTAATCTCAAGTTATTCTCCTTTGCTTTTTGTCCATCTAAAAAGCCTTCCGCTATCCATAAGAGTACCAGCTCATCCCTCTCAATTTCGTAATCCTTGGGAAATACAGCACAATAAGCAAAACATCTCTTCAAATAGGAAGGAAGATGGATATAACTCAATTTCAAAACAGGGAGAACCTCATCATTCTCTACTGTCGGAAGATTCCATATTTTGTTATTTAAGGTATCTTCCCATTCATCGGGATTCCTTTTATTACGTAGGACACCGCCCAACATCTTCGCTGCCAAAGGTAAACCTTTACATCTTTCAGCTATTTTCTTGCCTATTGTTTCAAAATCCGGGTGGCCCTCAAAATGTGTTGCTCCAAGAGCATGAAAGGCTAATAAGCTTGTACAATTATCAAGGGACAATTCCTTCAAAGGATACGGCGATGCTCTTGTTATGGAAACAACGGCAAGGTTGCGAGTGGTGACAATCATCTTGCTTCCCTTGGCCCCCGTTTCAAACGGCTTTAAGAGGGCAGTCCAATTTTCGTACTTCTCATTCCAGATATCGTCTAAAACCACAAGAAACTTTTTTCCGGATAGATTGTCCTTCAACTTAACTTGAAGGCTGTTAAGATCTTCACCCTCGCAAGACAACCCGGTGATTGATCGCAAAATAGTCTTTGTTATGTCAAGAACATCAAAAACATCTGACACGTAAACCCAAGCTTTCATCTCGAAATAGTTGTATACTCTAGCATCATTATATAGCCGTTGAGCCAAGGCCGTCTTTCCAACACCACCCATCCCAACTATAGGGACAATGGTCAACGTGGCATTGAAATTTTCGGCCTCACTGACCAATAGTTCGAGTATTTGTGCTTCTTCCTTCTCCCTGCCAAAAAACTGAGGCTCCGGCAAAGAAGTGGTGGGATCCCTTTTGTTGATGTAGTTAGATCTGTCCACAACATTCTCTCTCAAGCATAGACGAGCCTTCCTAGTGACAATCGCTTTCAACCTACCATTGATCTCTTGTACCTCGGTTTCAGACACAAGCGAGCGCAAGTTTGGATTCGATCCGGAGGATTTATCTCGCCCAAAGAAAGAGAACTTCCATTTCCCCAGACCTTTGCTTGTGCTGGATCCTACCTCCGACTCAACCTGAGCGGCTTTGATCGCGAACTCATCAAGCAAGTCTTCCATGTCATAGGCCAAGTCCCTAACATCGTCTAGCCATAGCTTCACTAGAGGGTTACCGCTGAGTTGCCTGTCCTCTGCATCAATCAACACTACATTGATTGTGACCAGCATCTCCTTCCACTCCTCGAGTAGAGCGGTGCTGATTCCTTCCTGTTGTGCATAGCCCAATGCGAGAGAAGTCAACTTGTTGAACAACACCTGAAAGAAGGAAGCCAAGAAGGAACCCAAAACGATCTCTCCGATGGCCATGGGTGAATTGGTCACTGTAGAGAACAGCAAAGGTGTTTTGGTGAAGCAAAGTAAAAATGAGCTAATGGAGAGAGAAAACTATGAAGTCCAGGAAGCCCAACATGTTCATTTACCAAATAGATTAGAAAAAGACCAAGACTTTCAAGGGATGCACACCAAAGGTTAGACAAATCAAAATAAAATAGTTTTTAATCCACGAGTGCTTGTTTCATCAATTGTTCTCCTTTTTCTTTGGATCGAGACTTTTATACCATCGTTCGAAAGAGAGGACCTTTTCTGTGGGCACTTAAAATAGAGGATAAAAGGTGATTTTTCTATATATGACCAATTTAGAGGGCAAGCATATTTTTGTCAAAAACTTAATTGCTTACAAGTGTTTTGTGGGCTTTTTTGGCATCTGTATATTTTCAGATAATTTCAATGTCTTTATTTTATGCTTTATTGGTGAATATGTGCTCAATAAGGAAACCAAAACACATGCTTTGGGCTAAACAAGAGAAAGGGTCAAGCACACCAACTAATCCACTAAGCAAGTTGCTTTATTTTGCTCTGCAAGTATTGAAGAGTCAAAAATCACCAACTAACATTATATAACCTACTGAAAATTATCCTTTACACATCACAATAATCAACAGGAAAATCGTATTCAAAGGACCATGATCTCCTATCAAGCGATTCACGATCATCAAACTATTACCTCATCACCCTTCGGCAGATCATTGCTACCCATCTTGCTGCGAATTTCAGCACTGTAACTGCCACTTAAAGCCTACATTGATTGCATACGAAATATGCGACCAATGAGCAGAATCTTTCAGAAAGCACGTGCTCTCCACCCAGAAAGCATGTGCTCTTCATCCAGCCTTTTCATTTGTTTATCTACATCTTTTTTTTTTGATAACCCAGGAACCCCCCGCACGGCCGACAGCCGGAGAGGTAAACTTGGGGTGACGCTAGCGCAGGACCCACCACCACGGCGCCACACTTAAGAATCCTTAACGACTACATCTTTTTGTGCAGTAGGAAGGCATCTTTTCTTCATTAAATATTTTGGGATTCGTAATCATTCAGAAAGCACATGCTCTCCACCCATAACGCATGTGCTCTCCATCGAAGATTGGCCTTGACTTGGGGGCTCGCATCTAGAGATAAAGATTAGCCATACTCTTCTTGTCCATAGAGCAGACACAACCCAACAATATTGGCTTGACTAGAAGGTGAGGTCCATTGGAAAGAAAAGAAATGCATTGCATTGCTCCTAGTCAAATTAACTTTTAACATTGGATTAATCGACAGAAACCTGCCTAGGAAGACTCGTTTATTATACATTGTATTCGGAATCGTTCAGAAACCATGTGCTCTCCATCCAGCCTTTTCATTTGTTTATATTGGATCTTTATGTGCAGCAGAGAAAGGCATCCTCTCTGGAATCGTTCTTCAAACGTTTAGTATTTGGAATTGTTCAGAAAGATGTGCATTTCAACCAGAAATCACGTCCTCTCCATCAGAGGCAATGGTGATCTGATGATTCTGATCAGTGTGAAGAACAAACAAGAAGGTCGCTACCAGCAATGTTTTTCCTATTTACCTTGGGTGAAAGCAAATGTTCCTCTTTTCTTTTCGTGTTATACTGGTTTGCGATTAAGAAAAAAATGACGAGTTTTCCACAATTTGATAACATCATATTAAAAAATTCACAAGGATGTTGGAGCCACATTTATCTGCTTAACAATATGATTTTTTTTCTGGTGTGAGCATTTCACTTCTTTTAGGTGGTGACTTTGTATTATATTTTTTCCCCTCTCAGTTCTTTATATCATATCTTTTACTTTCTCGTAGTGGGCATGCCCGATGATAAACATTTACTTTTCATTCACACTTCTTTTTATGAATTATTTCTAAAACATGTACTAAACCCTTAATTTGCCGATTACATGCATTATTGGTCCCCTCTCTCTCTTTCTCTCTCAAAGGTAAAAGAAAAAAAAATAGAGCAGAAATAATGGAGTTACCTATTGATTCTATATCATAATTTTTTTTACGCCCGCAAAAATTAAATTTTAAAACGACCATCTAAAGATTCTTTAGTGCAAATCAGAACCTAGAAGGGGGAGTCAATAAATATATGATAGTTACTCACTTTGACGAGTGAGCAATATAAAATGACAACCTGGGCTTTTTAGGGTTTAACAATAAGCGAAGTCTGCTTGATACGACATTAGTGCGCATTATAAAAGATGAACAATATCAAAAAAATTTCTGATGTAGAAATACCTTTTTTTTTTTAACAAAACACGAGTCTATGTGTGTTCGTTTTCTAACAAGCACAATTTTGATTTTCATAATTCACAATTTAATTCTTTATCGCAAATAACTCACAGTTTTCTCTGTCTTGAAAGAAAATAAATGGCTTAGTTTCCTTGCACTAAACTATCATTGGTTTTCACATGATGAAAACAAGTCGTCCACATGCAACACCCTTGTGGCTTGGGCAGAAACTACTTCACATGAAGTTTGAATTGCAACCGTATTGACTTGACTCGATTGATTACACTGGCATACCTTAAAAGATACTAAATCTCAAATACCTTTTTAATTCATCTTACCTCTTGTGGTTGATGGTAAATCCACTATATCTACATAATAAGGACTTTTTATTATGAGAGTGAATATTTAAAGACACAACAAAAGTCATTTATTTGGTTTGGCACCGCGAAATTATGGCAGTAGTGACTTTCCCATGAATCTCTACCAAAGAGGAATGAAGCTATCCTCTTACAATATTTATTGTTGCTTACCTAATTTCATGGACTAAAATTCCAATACATTGATGGTGTAAAATAATTACTTTGCTAGCTGGATAAAAATACTGATTCCATTATAAACTGAATACTTTGATCTCGGGATTGTTAATCGTGTAAAATCATTTCACGTTAGTGTGTGTTTTAGCAAAAAAATAATGATAGAGAGATTAAAAATTAATCTTAATGTCCTAATATTACTATCTAACAAAAATTAAAATAAAAATTAATTTTTATTAAACTTGACATCAACTCTAATCGAGATTATAGATAGGCATGAAATCAGTTTAAGAACCAAAATATTATTGATGTTGCATCAGTTTGAGGGACAAAGAGAGCAAGTAGATAGATGTCTCTTACCTATTCCAAGTAGACTTCTTGGAGCAAACCGGTGAACGGGATTAGATCAACGACAGTAATCCAGCAAGCACGAGTACTAGGTTCAAACGAGCAGGAAGAGAACACCGTTGAGAGGGGGGCGTGCACTAGTTTCGGCGGATCACAGTTTATGTATGTGAATTCTGCTCCGGCAATGCGTGGCCACTGCTTGCAACGACGAACGACAATACTGATGGAGCTACGACTAGAACAGGTTTGTAGGGGATTGGGCAGATCAAAGATGGTGGTGATTGGCGACGATCAACATGCATGCGAGAAGTGAATTGAATGAAAGCGGAGTCTGTGGGCGTGAGTTTGAAGCTGATGATGGTGGTTGAGGAAAAAGTGAGGCGGTGTGGTTTAAGGTGTGTATTTTTTCTCAGAGGTTCCCATTTTATCTTTTCTTTTCTTTTTTTCTTTGGGGAATAAATTCGAAGGAACCTAATCCTATTGGTTAAAATTCTGGTATATGCTTATAAAATGCTTTAATTGCAAGAAACTTTTTTTTTGTTGAGGAAAACCGGTTCCATTTTTTCAAATATATATGAAACCGACTTTGGACAAAATTTAGGTATCAACAAGTTTTATCTATCAAATGGTTATTTATGAGCTATTTATACTTATTTTGGTAATTCGAGGTTCCTTAATTTTAGGTGATGTGGAATGGTCAAATGCTCCTAGCTGTAACCGTCTGCTTATTGCCCACGTTTCGCCTCTCTTTGCGGAGTAATGCAGTGCAAATTCGGACACTGGAATCTATATCTGATTTCTAATTCTATCCGGATTTTCCATTACGTATCTCTTTCGGATCGAATTGAGCCAAATCCTCTTGTTGTTCTCTATCAAAGTAGTTTAGGTAGTTAAAGTTTTTACTTCCTTGCATTTTACATGGTAAAGAGTAGAAACCCAAATCAACTCGACTTAAGAGTCACGGAGAGACTTTTTACGGGTCCAACCAAATTTCCTGATTTAATAGATTCGATAGTTTTTGACATTCACGCTCGGCATAACTTTAGTTTACCCAAGGATGTGAAGAAACATGGAGGCTATGGATATGCTAAAACAGTTATTGGATCATGTTCACCAATAGTGACCAAAGATCGGTCCCACATATGCTAAAACAAAATGATGGAACTGGGAGCACTTGCTTTAGCCTTTTTTGTCACCATGTCCAATCAAGCATAGCATTAAGGACCTTTCATCCGCCAAAAATTAAAGGCTGCAAAGTTCCACACAATTAATACAATCATATCTTTTACTAGATTCAAATGAAAATGTTCACCGTTCTTCACTTGAAAAGAAGAGCAAATTAGACTCTTATAGTACTACTGATTGTTATCATAGAATTAGCCATATCATCTCGAATACTTTTATCAATCATGTTTTAGATATCGTAAGTTATAAGAATCAACAACAGTCAAGAATCTAACTATGCATGAGCGGAACACATGATGCGTGTGGACATGAAACGACTCGAGGGGTTAGAGAGAGAGAGAGAGAGAGAGAGAGAGAGAGAGAGAGATCATATTACGTCAAAGTTGGAGTCTTGCATGTCTTGCACAATCCTGCTTTCTTATAACAAAATTCTTTACAAAATTCAGCCTCATTAGTACAAAATTCAAACGTATTACTTTATAATAAAGTAGAAAAATTTTTGTCGTCTTATTTAATCTAATACAATGTTTCTAAAATAATATATCAATATCAACTTGCCTTTCATATATATATATATATATATATATATATATATATATATATATATATCGATGACACGAGAAGTTCTGCGGTCAGTATTTATCATTTAAATAGTTTTTATTATCT